ACCATCATCTCCAAGCTTGTTGAGGTTTGTTTGTTTCTGTGACTTAGCACATTGTGCAAAGCCAGACTACCGGGTTCAGGGCATTTTACCAATCCAGAAAACAGATGAATTCTGTAACAGGGTGTGACGAGCCACTGGGAATGGTTTCTGAGTAAACCTGCACCAGCCTTAGACGACCTCCTGTCTTCTCTCCAATCCAGTAAAAAAGAAAGCTGACTCTAAGTAAGAGGCAAGAAACCGTGCTGCACTGATCACAGTGATGCTATTGCATCAAACAACTCAGGCTGCCTTGAGCAAGTCTCTACCTCTCAGCCAAGCCACTTCATAAGGCTGCTGCGAGAACGGCGTTCTTTTCTGGGCTCTCACACAACAAGAGACCCAGCATTTTTGCAGTGCTGTTGGTGTACAAAGTCCAGTAATCGTTGGAACGACCTGATGCTGCAGCCCGGGAGCAGAGAGCACGGAAGGACCTGCCCTCCTCATTTACAGCAGCCCATTCTGAGCCCACAGCTGGGGATCTGAGTCTGGGAGACGCTCCCTTTGCCCAGAACTGCTGGCAGCGAGGCTGAGCAGGGTCTGACGGACGGCCGCTTTTCCCAAGGAGGCCCTCGCCCCGGGCCAAGGCGGCCTGTGAGTCCGTGCCCTCCCCCGGGCCAGTTCCAGCTGCAGGGAGCCCGCAAGAGAGGCCCAGCGGCAGCCGCGACCTTCCCCTGGGGAGAACTTCCTTGCGCTCGCTCGGTATGTAGGACAGACTGCCTATGGGGTCCTCAGGTGTCAACACGCGCGCTCCCTCCAGGAAGCCTCCGAGCCTTTTACGAAGCTCGCCTGCGGCCATCAGACTGCCGGCGAGGGCAAAAGCGGGGGTGGGGGGTGGGGGGCAAAAGCCTCTGGTCTCACCCTGAGGTTCCTCGTGATAAACAGGCAGGATAAATGTCAAGTTCATTCGGAAATAACGAGCAAGCCACCTTCCCGGGGGCGCCCAGGCGAGAGAAGGCGAGGGCGGCCGCTTTCCCGC